CGACAAAGTGACAGCAAAACAAAGGAGCAAAGAACGATTAACGTTAACTTTGAAGGGGGAAAATCGATAAACTACCACCACAATTACCACCATCACTGTCACCACCTACCTACTACCGAAGCAAATCATTCCCCGCATATAATCTATGCTCGCCGTGTGAAGATGGATGTTTGTGTGGTCACTTGATTTATCAACAGTCCCAAACCACTTTCTGCCAAACAAACAACAAACACACCTGCTCCACTCATTGGCACATGCTGTAATTTTCTCGATGTCTGACTGCGATTTGGAAAAATTGTTGGAGGAAAATCTAGCGAGTTATATAAACAGAAAACGCGTGTACACTACCGACGTTGTATAGATACCCACACTGACACACATGTCTCTACATGCCAAAAGTTTTCACATGTACAGGCAAACTCACCATTTTCCACTGCCGATAGAAAGAAATACATTTCCAGCTCTCGAATATTACAGCAAATGCATTTGGTCAGCTTGTTTATTAAAATTTTACATTCTTTTCACTAAATTATTCATGGCTTTTAGAGATCGTTGCTAGTTTTTCCACAAATAGAAAACACGACCGCTTGAAGGAAACTTTTTCTTTCCACCGCAAAATTAACGAGAACATTGCATATTGGCCTCGAACGAGGTCGTCAATGTCGGCTAGACCCCGTACACTCGCACATACACAATACTCGACTTGAATGGCAAAAAAGAGTCGAATTGGAAAAATATCACACAGGAAAATATCACAGATTTCTACAATATAATTTTTTTTTATTTCTCAATATATTTTTTTTTACTTTATTTATTCTTTTTTATTTTATTTATTGGATAATTCTTTTTTTTTATAAAAATCGTCATGTGAAACAACGTCAGTAGCAAAATTTTATTTTGTTCTTCTATTAAAACGCACGACTATTATGAGGGTGTTCGTGAACTTTCAACCGTTCCTTGCCGTTTGCAGCAGTGATAAAAATGTTACCGTTACAAATGAGGATATCCATTTGGCACTACCTTTGTGTACAACACTGTATGCGCCTGCGACGTACGTTGCCAACTATTTTGGTTATTATTTCATAGAGCATTTACATACACTCTTTCTATGATGTGGATTTACACAATGCTGAAAATAAATTACGGGTTGAGAATTTCACTTTAATTTCAATCAGTCAGCCACGCACAAATATTTAAGAAATATTAGGTATGTTTGTTGTTCGAGAACATTCGAAAAGTTCAGTAAATTAGACTAAGTTGAGAGAGAAATTTTAGCAGTTGTGTATTCAGTAGTGATTTTAATGTTTATCTTTTGTTGTCGAACACATTTATTTTCAAATTTTCTAGCAATAATCATCCTACATACCATTGAGAATAGTCTTTTAAAAAATAGTTGTTTTCAAGCTTTTTTATTAACATTATTAAAATATCAGTAGTGTTGGCGGTTTATTTGGGATACCATTTGTATTTTGTTTTTGTAAAATAGTCAGGCTGAATCCCAGTTTGTTGTTTTTATAAAAAAACAACTATTTATTAGTGGGGAATGTATGACATTGTTTGCCGAGGGGTAAGGCAAGGAAGACTATAGTTTCGGATCACACCACTGGTCATCATCAGTTCCCTTAGTTTTTTGTTGGCATATTCTCCCCGGAAGCTATTGCTTCCATACAAAAAACCTTTCATACCCAAATGTCTCTTGTAACAAAGCGAAGTACTTAGCTGACCAACGACATAAACTGCATGAGAATTTCGCTGGAGCCTCACTTCGAGGTTAACAAAGCATTTACAAACAATACCACATCTTTCCCACTGTTGTGTGTTGTCACATCGCGACAAATGCACACAACGACTTTGTTGGTGTTGCTAGTATACAGCAACAAACCAAACAGTTTAACCGTGCCTGCTGCGTCTACAACTTCAGTAGTGTTGGCGGTTTATTTGGGATACCATTTATATTTTGTTTTTGCAAAATAGTCAGGCTGAATCCCAGTTTGTTGTTTTCATAAAAAAACAACTATTTATTAGTGGGGAATGTATAAAAAAATAACAAACTGGGATTCAGCCTTACTATTTTGCAAAAACAAAATGCAAATGGTATCCCAAATAAACCGCCAACACTACTGAAGTTGTAGACGCAGCCGTATTGCCCATTAGAGTAACCGAAGACCAGATTGTAGAGGACACCGCACAATTTACCAATTTCAGGTATGGTTGTTACATCTTATATATGTATGTAAAAACCATGGTTAAATCTTGAGAGCATGTTCAACTTTATAAAATATCATTTGTTTAATTTATTGAATATGCTAATCGACACACTCATAATTTTATGGAATTTATTTTGCATTTCATTTCAACTTGAAATATGAATTCCATATTAAAAAGGGGTTGCCAATATCAATTTCTCATATGAGACTACTTCCCATAATTATAGCATGCTATTAATCATGGCACAATTATACGAAGTAGTCTCATGCAGTCATATTTTTCAATTTTTTTTTTCATAAATTTGCTTTTGACAGTGTTCAACTTTCAACATTTAAATGAAAATATTTTCCTTCAAAGTATACCTATATTATTTGTTCAGTGGCAAAAATTGCTAAATAATTAATATTTTTAAATATTTTGAAGATCCATGCCTCTAAAACTTATAAATACAAGATGTAACAACCGTGGTTAAATCTTGAGAGCAATGTTCAGTTTTAAAAAATATGTTTTGTTTAATTTATTGAAAATATGCCAATCGACATACATGGCATTTCATGGAATTTATTTTTCATGTTATTGATGTTCATGTTAATTGATTGATAAGTTCCAAATTAATCGGCGTTAAATTTTTTTGAACCGGTTTACAACCCCGAATTAGCATGAGAATTCCAATTATATTAATATAAGTTCGTTGCCTTTTGGTTTACAATCTACTTCAATTTCCTAGTGGGATGATTTAAAGCAGCAAATCCTTTTGCAATAAAAAATTCATATTTTCAACGCTTTTTTGTATGAGTTACTCATACGTTTTTTTATGAGTTACCTCCACATATGACAATGACTCAATTGGATGAAAATCTGGAAGTAATAGAATTATAAATTTGTACGATTTTCATTCATGTTTTTAAATATTATTCGGAAAATTGAAAAAAAATGTTACCATGGTAAATTCTTAAGGAGTAAATATTACTGGAAAATAAAACAAATATACCCAATATTATCACGAGGGTTCCGTTTTGACTTTTCTAATATAATATTATTCTCAATACGTTTGTTTTATTGGGCCGAACATTTTTTTCTTTTAAAGATATTCATTAATATACAATGTATTATAGAAAAAAATATACACATAAAATTCAATTACTGTAACCAGGCACAACTAATATTTTAACACGAGAGAGCAAACTGTCTCAACATAAGCAATTTAATTTATGTTAATAGTTGTAATTTTTTATTTAATTTTTTCTTGTTTTAAAATCTGCTGAAAAACCAAAATTACTTTATGAGAGCAGGTGCAAATTGTATGGTGTTTGTGTGTGTCACACATACATAAATAAACTTAAAAAAAATAATTCGTACTATGATAAATGCTGTACGGCATGATGTATAGTGTATGGGGCCCTTTAAATTTATTTATTTTACTTTTTTTATTTTATTCATAATACAAAGCCTTCTTCGCCTATTTAATGATTTAAAAAAACATTAGTAGAAAACCTGATAGTTTATAATACATTAATTACAATACTGGCTCTGCAGTCTAATTTGCATTAACTGTAATATTATTACTAAAACATACAAATGTCATGTATAAAATCTCAAATTTATGATGGAAAATTTGAAACAATAAAAATCAGTTTTTACTAAAAAATATACTAAATCATGGAACAGTTATACAACTCAACAACAACCGCGTAGAAACTTATTGTATGTAACACTAGTGTCACGAGGTAAAAATTGTACATTCTTGCAGTTTCTGGAACAGACCATAAATTTTACTTATTTTAAAAAGACAAAATTTTTAAAATTTAAATTATATCGCTTCTACACATTGCCAGTAGTATGTGTAACACTCGCTGATATTATCTGGGTTAAAGATTTTGTAATTGATAATATTCTCACATTAAATATAGACAGAGTAAATAGTCCCCAAAACTATTACCACTTAGCACAATGTTTAAAACATATATTATATAAATATTTATTTGTTTATTTGTGTTATATTTAAGCAAGCCATTTCTTATTCTAATGTGTTATACAGCTAAATTCTAGACTACTATTTACATGAAACGGTTAACTATCAAAAATAAAAATAAATTTCTAAGTTTAACTGTTTAGCTACAAAATCGATGGTTGCTATTTGTGTAATAAGATAGAAATCATGTTTGTTTTACTGAATTTTATCATAACGTGGAACACATTTTTTTCTCTTAATATTCCAACTGTAATTTAAAAAAAAAACACATGAGTTGTTAAAACTGGATCTGGAATTGTGTTAACTGGATATATCAATTGATTCGTTGCTGTTTATATTTATATAAAAAAAATTCTCAAGCAATAACATTTGTATGTTAAAATATGATTTCTTTGCAAAATTTAGACAATATTGAAACATATTTCAAAATAATAAATGAGAGGATTACAACTATAAGTTATTTATATATTTTTTAGGTGACAATGGGAACGTATTTTGAATATAAAGAATATACCAATCTTTCAGTATTGCCTCCTAACTCTAATTATTGCGACCACTCGAATAAGAATTAAAATAAAAAGAATAATATTTTTAATATATTAATAATAGATATAAAATAACAGACTACATAGAAACATACATATATAATACGTACATTCATTTATCATATACATACACAAATTAACGTATTAATTATTTGAAACTCATTTATGTTTGATTCTCCATGTTGCACTCGGTAATTTTAATTTTACAATCATACAGGCTATATTTATTGCTACAACGATAGTCGGCATGTATCCGAAATGGATATACTATGTGCATTCATTTACAACTACAATTAGATTATTTATTGTGCAATAACTCCGTTTCCTTACTGTCGTAGCAACGTCGTTTAAAATCACTTAGAAATAGACCGTCCTGCAGACCCTGTTGTTCAATGTTGACCGATTGTGTTGTATTGCTAAAAATATAATAAAAAGACATATTATTTTTTTTAATTTATATCACACTTATATATAAAAATTAAGAATTTATACTTCGCAATTTATCTTCAAATTTTACATTTGAAATAAAAATAAGATGTAAGAGAAAAAATGTCATTAAATCTCTATTTTCTGAGGTAGTTAAAAATGCTAACAAACCTTAAAGCAAAACCTTAAGCAAATAAAATTATAGAACTGTTTTTCGTTTCCACGTCAGAGGGATCTACGGTCCGAATAGACAAGAGTCTACTCTGTCACATCAGTCCATTGTGTAAAAGCAGTAGGGCTGTTGCAAAAACTCAAAACATCAGTTACAAAGTTATATTAATGGCATGCTATAGGGGGGAAATTGGAAGAGAGTAAGCTGTATATATACAAAACAAAAAGTCGTATGGCCATATTTTAAAATAAACCCCCTGTCTATGTCTTCAAAATATTTTTCAGTTTACTATGTTATCATTTAGCTTCCAAGGGAGTAGAACAAAATCCTATCACATTTACTTACCTCGTTTTGTTAAGCACGGCACATCCATTATCCAATGACATTTGCAATGAATATAATTGCGCTAAATTTATTAGACTTTCGTGTTCATATATTTCAACATCGGGTAAACGAATTTGAAGTAGTCGCGGATCTTGCAGGAATCGTGCCAGACGTTCATTTACTGATGTTTTTATGCTAAATCCTGGTCGTTCGCCTTTCACGCGTCGACAACCAGCACGGATTTCTCGTACTTCACTTGGCTGACAAGGTGGAGAAGAAAGAAAAGGATTAGATGTTTCTCCAGACATTTCACTTTCGATTTGTTTCATAGGTGCTGTTATGTCATCGGAAATCATATCTGGCCGGCACATAGAGGAAAATCCAATTTTGTTAGCAATGGTTATGGGTTCCGATGATTGGTACGGTAATTCTGTAGCCAAGTCCTTATTTGTTTCGGCCGATGGCGGCCAATTTAGTGACGTGTTCTCACCAACTGTCGTATTGTTCGACATGACGGTATCTTCTTCTCCAATCATTAATGACCCCACACTTTCGGGGTCAGATTTTATTTGTGGCAATGTATTGCGTTTGGTGAGTTTACGTTTACTGTCATATTTCGAATCGCCACAAACGGTTTCGTTTCCTGGCCAATCCGTCAACTCATCATCACCTTCCCGATCGGTGTCGTTAACTGCATGGTCATCCGAATCTGATGAACTCAACGAACTCGAACTGTTGAAGTCCTCACAATCCATTGAGTTCTGGTCCACGGAAAATTGTAGTATACGTCGCCGGTGATGACCAGAAGAGCGTTTCTTACGATGGTTTTGGAATTTTGTGTCCTGTTGCTGTGACATAACATTGGAAAGTAGAAACGATGGTTCTTTGACCGATCCAAATATTTGTTCGGCTATCATTGACCCAGACGCATCCTGACTCAAGCCAAAAGCCGGTGAAGCGTTCGGTGTGCTGCCAATATTTTTACCAGAGTCAGAAATTGCACTATCATCAGCAGCCATTGTGGGGACAAAACATTCGTTATTCACTTTTGCGCTTTCCGATAATTTCGCCGTTTCAGTCTTTTGTTGTTGTTGGGATATGCGTTCAATTTTTGATAAGAGTCCCTTATTCAATGGTAAGAGCCTATCACTGTGTGGTTTTGAAGTCGACGAAAAACTGCGTGGTCTCATACTGTATTCCTCCAAGTGGCTGTTGTGGCGTGGCATGCTTGATGAATGGTCGTGTTCTTGATAGCGATCGCGGTTTGAACGCTTGCGTTTTCCACAGAAAAACATCTGACGACTGTTAACGTCGGGCTTGAGACCTCGTTTGCGCATCGATAGAGTACTTGGGCAACCTGTAGACGTGTTGTTAGAAGCCACAGTAAAAGCAGATTCCTCTGGCACTTGATTTGTTGATACTGCTCCAATTACTTCATAATCCATAGAGATACGCTTTAACTTGCGTTTCCTTCGTGCGCTTGGCTTGAAGAATCTACACAAAAAATATACGTCACTATTGTCACATACATTTTATTCAACTACACACAAACATACCTTGCCGGACTGAATGTCTCGTTGAGTGAATCCGATTCCAATGTACCCAACACACGGGCTGTACCAAGGGTCTTACAAGTCAAACGTGGAACACCCATCTCCTCCTTTTCATCTGAGTCACTTGGCAAATTGACATTTTGTGTATCGAGTCCGTCATTATTATTTGTAGCTGTCTGAACTGATGCCCCAAGTGCTGCATCCGTTGGACTACTGGAATCTTCAGTTGGCTGTGGGGCGCATGCTATACCAGTATGACAATCCAACAATAATTACTGTGGTTTGAATTTATTGGACAGAACTTACGCAAATTGCCTGTGGAACGGGTGCGTCTCCTTTGCTGACCCCAGCGACTGACCTTAGCTCGATCGAGTAAGGATGTTTCTTCCAAGGCTACTGTTAAGTCGTGCGAAAACTGATCCATTCTGTAACAGCAGCAGCAGCCTTTGCTGATGCAGAAAACTTGAGCTCCAGCAAATATATTTTGAAATCGGAAAGTGGTGGCTATTTCAGCTGAGTATTCGCCGTACCTTTGTTGACGATAGAGGCAAGATGTAACAAGCCAGACCTGCTGCTTTACAATTCAAACACAATTCAGAAATATCATTACATTTTTAATATATTCAAGCATAGACAAATTTATTGCAATATTGTAAATCATTTTTTATTAAATAAGAAAAAAATTATACGCACCGACGCATGAAATGACTTTAGATCTGTCAAATTGAAATAGGTGTGGAAAACAAATGAAATGAAGTACGAAAAGGTACATTTTGCGATTTGTATTGTACCATACTTAATGTGGCCACATCGTGCACATCATACTTGCAAATTGTGACCGTCAATTGTGACAGAGAAAAATAAATAAAATCGCCAGCCCGCCACTCTGTCGTCCATAGGATCATTTTCGTAATCATAGGCTTTATAATAACATCGGCAGAATTCTTAATTGCTAATTCGATATATCATTATCTAAATTTTTGAAAAATATGTAATTTATTTTTGTTTTGAATCAGAAAACATTTATAAACATAAATTAAGGTTTGGTCGTAAGTCACTCGAATTCGTTCGTTTGGAATTTTACAAAAACAGGCTGTAAGAATTTTTGTAAATATTATTTTTGTTTTTAATAAAATAATAAAAATATTGATCTTAATCAAATTATCGACGTTTAGTTGCAAAACAAATCAAAATTTTAATTGTGAGACCATGGCCTATAAATAAGGTCACCCAGGGAGACCAGCTGGATATCTGCGCCACTCAAGTTTGCTGTCAAAATGCATTATTGTGAATTGACTTTCCTTATGAAAACGTAAACCAAGATCTATTAATAAGGTCACCAAGATAGCAATCGAAATCGGAAAACAGCTGTTTTTTCTCAAGTCTAATGTCAAAAATTTCGACTTTGTTTACGTTTTCATAATGGAAGTCAAATCACAATAATCCATTTTGACAGCAAACTTGAGAGGTATCGATAATCAGCTGGTCTCCCTTGGTGACCTTATTTATAGGCCATGCAGCAAACTTGAGAGGTATCGATAATCAGCTGGTCTCCCTTGGTGACCTTATTTATAGGCCATGACGTAAACAAGGTCGACATTTTTTTATTAACTCCTCTCCTTCCTTACTCACGACAGTCGACATTTTTGATATTAGACTTGAGAAAAAACAGCTGTTTTCCGAGTTCGATTGCAACCTGGTTGGCCTTATTAATAGATCTTGTGTGAGACCATCGATTAATAATCGTTTTTTATAATCTGATGTTTACAAACAACCAAGATCTATTAATAAGGTCACCAAGATAGCAATCGAAATCGGAAAACAGCTGTTTTTTCTCAAGTCTATTGTCAAAAATTTCGACTTTGTTTACGTTTTTATAATGGAAGTCAATTCACAATAATACATTTTGACAGCAAACTTGAGAGGTATCGATAATCAGCTGATCTCCCTTGGTGACCTTATTTATAGGCCATGCAAACGACTTTTTTATAGACACTAGCCAACATGTAAATCATATTTAACAATAAATTTATAGGTGTGTTCGTTTACTCAACAATTTGCACAAATTGTTACGTGATGTTGTTGTGAGTTTTTCGAATGCTTACAACCATGGTATAATAATAATAGGTAACAGCAAGTGTTGTTGTACAAAAAACGATACAACAACCACATGGAAATTTGTTGTTGTAAGTTCTACTAGTGTCAACTCATTTGCTGTTACCTTTTATAATTGTACCATGGCTTACAACGAAAATTTACTCAGTTAATATTTTCCAGTAACATCAGTAGACATTTAATCCATGACACAATAAATAGGTAGTCCATTCAGCGCAGCTGATGTCTCGATTATCCGTCAAAGTGGGTAATTTCTACTTGAATTCGATGTGCAGTGTTGCCAACCATGTGAAATATTATAAGGAAAAATTTGACAGATGGTCGTCACAATCTATCACAACCTATTTACAGCATCATGAGTGTATGTACAAATTAAATTTGTTATTGAATAAAAATCAATTTTCTGAATGATACAACAAGTAAAAGAAGGAATCTTTTCACTGGATTTAACGTACAAGCTTCCCTTCAGCACAACTAATATGATTTAAAATATTAGTTGTGCTGAAGGGAAGTTGTAGTTGTGCTGTTATATCCAGTGAAAAGATTTCACGTAATATGGTTCGAATTTGTTTGATTGCTCGCGCTCCATTCGGAAAAAAAATACGTATGTAACATATCGTTTTGACACATTGAAATTTTCATATATTTCACACGACGTTCAATTTTCCAATGTAAATAAAGTTATAGTACGTTTACATTTAATCGGATTTCGTTAACTCAGTGGGTTTCAATTGTCAAGTCATGTCAAATAAATCCTCATAAAGTAGGTTAACCCGTTACAAGGAAGACGACAAGGAAGCGTGAGCTTAAATCAGTTCTAAATCCGGCCACTGATTTGTTCCACATATTTGCCGCAAGTACAACTTGGGTTCCAGATAGCAAATATACATATGTATATGTGTGTTCTTATGATCGATTTAATACCAAAAGGAGATTGTTAAGGAAAAGGAAATCTGCCCCTAAATCCTCTGTTTCCCTCAAAATCAAGGAAATGGTGTTATATAGCTTGTATTAGAATTTGTCCATTAGTTTTCTACAAACACCTGACTAAATACAATTTTTTTACAATTTAAAATGAGATTCTGTTGCGTTGTCTATTGCCAGATTGAATACGGATTTGTGGTGTTTGACCGGGGATTTATGTCCTACAATTTATCTACCAAGAAGCCACTTCTTCGAAAATTATATTGTAATTTAAAATATAAGCAAATATTAAAATATACCAAGGAACCAAGGCTTACATGTGGGACACTTTTCAAAATTATTCGGCCTGAAGAATGTATAATTGTTTTTATTTACTTTTGTCAAAACCTATTTATCAGCATGACAATTTAATTTCTATAACAACAATGTTGTTTTTGTAAAATGTTTGTTGCTGTATCTGATGCATACACCTTATGCCATGTACAGACGAACGTTGTTCGCTCTCTCATTCGTTGTTCGACCCTTAATTATGAAGGAATTACTTAGTTCCCCATACAAAATTGTCTGAGCGATCACCGACTTTTGTACGTTGTTCAATTCGAATCACTCTCTGAATAACCAATAAATTTGTCCCATCCCTAACAATTGAGAGCATTTATCGAAAATAAATTAATTTTGACAGTTTGAAAATATTTATGAAATTTTCAAACTTTTTCAGTAAAATTGAAAATCATGAATGAAAAGTAAAAAATTGTATAGTTTTTATATATGCAGCAGGATGTAAATTTTGTTTTCTACATAATGCAATATGCATTTCTTTTCCCTTGGTTCTAATTAGCGTACAAAATAAGAAACAAATGTGGGGCAACTCAAACAAAAAATTCTCCAAATTTTTATTTGTGACAGTATGTGACATTTGAATTGAGAAAATATAAAAATGTATTAAAAATAACAACATTTTCAGAAAAAATGGAAAACATGAATGAAAAGTAAATAGATATGGGTTCATACTATAGTCAGGAGAAAGAGAATTATTTTTTCTATTTAGATCCCTATGTAATTCACTAAAATATGTTATTTTTGGTGTAAAACAAGAAACAAAAAGTTTGAAATAAAAAACTCTGATGATATGAATTATGAATAGTGTTGTATGAACGGGTTAATTCAATGTACGTAATTTTGTAAAATGTTTGTTGCTGTATCTGATGCATACATGGCATTATTAAATACACCTTGATGGATTGTAGCATGGATTTTAATTACACATTTGTTGAACGACAAATCACACACGCAAGGACGAATATCAAACAAAAATAAAATACAATTGCCCATCACCATTGCTACGACCATCTGATTATCATATGGGACACTGGTGAATTATTCTCAATCGAAGAGCTATTCGTAAATAAATAACTATTAAAATTCTCAAAATGTCTAAAATTCTTCACTGTGAATTTGAAGTATTTGGAATTGTACAAGGTAATTTCAATGCATTAGCAATAACTAATTCGTCTATTATTTGTGTTTTCTAATTTCACTAGGAGTCTCCTTTCGAATGGTACAACAAAAGAAAATAAAGTGAGATAACATGGAATCTATGCTAATAATTTATTATTAGTTTACAGAGAAGCAAGCAAACAAATTGGGTGTCCGCGGTTGGTGTATGAATACAAGGGACGACACCGTAAAGGGGGAAATTCAAGGTGCGTCGGAAGCATTTAACGAAATGTAAGTTTATTGAACGGCAGAATGCTTAGTTACGCCAATACTAAAAATATTTATTCTTAAGGAAAATATGGCTGGAAAAAACGGGAAGTCCCACGAGTCGAATCGATAAGGCTGTATTTGGAGAAGTAAAAGAGATGGAAAACTTTACGTTTGAAAAATTTTCTATTAGATATTAAATTATTTTTATAAAATGTTGCACAATGATTGGAATTACTTGTTAATATTTGAAATACAAATGTTGTTCAAAAGCAAATTAAAAAATTTTGTAATTATTTCGTGATAATGGTACAAAAGGGTAAAGATCAAGGGTAGATTCCATCACTCCAAGGTCTATTAATAAGGTCACCCAGCTAGCGAAAGTCAGATGTTTTTCCTCAAGCTTATGTCAAAAATTGGAACGTTGTTTACGTTTTCATAATGAATGTCAATGCACAACAAAGGGTTTGGACAGCAAACTTGAGAGGCATCGGATATTCAGCTGGTCTCCCTGGGTGACCTTATTTATAGGCCTTGCATCACTCTATCTCGAGAGAGCATATCATGTTTCACCCAGGTAGTTATCGAAATCGGAAAACAGCTCTTATTTCTCAAGTTGAATGTCTAAAATTTTGACATTTTTTGGTCTTCATAATGTGAAGTCTATTCACAATAACACATTTTGAAAACAA